TACCACTTTTGCTGTTCTTTTGATTACAATATATGAAGTACCTGTGTACCTCAATGCTGTTCCCCCTCAAGTGCAGTTCATTACCCTGCCTTTTGGAAAAATTGACAAAGACCTCAGAAGAGGCATGGGCAGGACCAGAGAGCCTCATGCAGTTCAATCCAGAGATAATTTTTCCTGACATCACTTGGCTAAGGATAGAGAAATTTCTCATGCCTCTGGTCAGAATTATGTAGTTCCATGTGAACCCTTGGGAGTAGAGGGTTCAATCCTGGGAGATGTCCTTCCTGGGGGGACATTTTGGAGTCTCCAGGAGTGGATCATGGGAATGCTGGGGCTCTTTCATCTCAAACTGAGAAAGCTAGGACCTCACCTGCCTGTGTGCTGTTCAGAGATGGGGAGCTGCCTGGGTGCAGGTGACCAGATTTTAATTTTTCCTGCCTGTCCCAGCAGCAGCTGCTCCTCATGTTTTTTTTTTTTTTTTTTTTTTTTCCTCCTGCTCTGTGCTGCTGCAGGGTCAGGTTTATCCTGAGAGCATATGCTTGTGGGTGCTCCATGGCAGTGGTGCAGCTGAGGTATGGGGTTGAATGAGGAATGTGGGGGCTGCCTGTGAACCTGCTCACCTTCTGCACAGTTTCAGGAGACCTGAAAAATAAAGCCATTAATTGCTTAGCCTAGAGTTTGTTTAAATACAACTCAAATGTTGCATAGTGTCTGTTACCTAAATTATTCTATCCTTTTGGAACGTTGCCCCTTAGGGATAACTGGGTACAAGTGTTGAACCACGTGTGCATAAAGGTGGGAATGTTCCTACAGGCTGCTACAGCCCTTGCTGGAGGCTGTGAGTGGCAGAGTGTTGGTTTGCAGTGCAAAGGTGGTTTTTAGTTTGTACTCTGTGGTGGCAGCAGTGACCAGTGACTGTGGTCTGTGAACCTGTTGACTTGGAGCCTGCTTCTGAAGAGCAGGGACTCAGGAAAGCAAAGCTAGTGCAGTCATTCTATGGGCTTTGCTTTTATTGGGAAATTCTTGCAAGTGGGAGAAGACTGAAAGCTTGCTTGGCCTTTCTGCAGATGAAGAAAGGTCATAAAAGGTTGGTTTTTTTTTTTTGGATGACAATTGTTTTTTAGAATACTAATTTTTCTGTTTCATTTTTATTTAATTTTCCCTGTTTTTTCCCCTGTCCATTTTGCGTCAATTACAGTTTTTCTCTTTGACTATTTTATGCAGTTGTTGATATCCAAAATTCTATATTGGTCTAATAAAGTAGTTAAATGAGCTGACTTTGAAAGTACAATAGGATGGCTAAGTGAATCTATATTAAAATTAATGTTTAACAGAGAGCATCTTTGATAAAGTTAGCAGTCTGTGAGCAGTGTTATAGTTATGGCTATTTTCAGAGAACTTGAAAGCCTTCTGGAAAACTCATCCTGTGGAGTAAAACGTTTTCTATTTGTTTCTGTTATGAAAGGGAATAAAGTGTTACTGTTGGTACTTGTCAGAATCCATTCATTTCTCATACCTTGTAGTAAATGATAACACTCCCCTTCCTGTTTTTGAGATATTGAAACATGGAAGTGAAAAATCTTCATTTCATTATTGAGATATAGGCAAATAATAATATTTCCCCTTTTCTTGCATTATTTCTGACTGCTCTTTAAAAATTCCACTGCACCCCTGGTAGGTTAAATGGTATGGGCCTGAAACTGGAGAAACCATTCCTAAACGTTCAGCCTGGCTCATATCTGAATGTGCTGCCTCTCATGCTTCATTGCAAATCCACATCAACCCACTGGTGTGATAAAAGGGAATGAGCTGCAGTCATCCAAACCTTTGCTTCATCTTGAGCAGTCAGGCCGGCAATAGTGGAAAAGGCTCCTCAGCAGCAGGCTTGATGCTTAGGAAACCTGATTTAGGAGTAAATGCTTGGATGGGGACAGCCTTGCTCCTGCCCTGTGCCATTGGTGACAGAGGAGGAGCAGCGGGCTGGGTACCCCTGGCATGGGCCTTGTCCACACGTGGTTGCATGGAGGGGCCTGACAGGGGGTTTTGCTCAGGCAGAACTCTTCGTGCTGGGACTCATGGAACCTTGCTGGAATTCAACTGAGCAGTGTAATTAGTATCATTTTAGCTCCCAGTCAGCTGTAATAGGTACCAGGAAGCTGCTTCTCTTTGCATAACTTATTAGAAAAGCTATTTTACTTTCCTACATGTATGCCTTATATGGAAGAACAGGCAGTGTGGTGTTTTGTCAGGAGACTGCATGAACTGTATTTTCCAGTGTCACAACTGGCAACTGTGAAATCTGCATCGAAATGCTTGTCCCAAGCATCCTTTGGGCCAGCTAGGGGAAAGTACTGCTGGGTATGCAGGGTGCTCATACCTGAGCTCAGGGCAGATGCCTACACTGGTCCTCACTGGCGTCAAGGGAGTTAGTGGTTGAACTAGGGAAGCTGATCTGGGCAATCTTCCAGCCTGAAGGATGTGAGGCAGAAACGGATGGGAGGAACTGTAAGTGATATGAGGGAAGCAGTAGGCTAGGAGAAGAAGGGTCCAATAAAATCAAGTAATAAAACACATCCATAAAACTGCAGGACCTGAAGTTTGAAACAGTAGCTCTATGCTTACATGCTTGGCACAACTTTCATTTCTAATTTGTCTGCTTCCTTCAGGCTTCCTCTTGCCAGAGAGGTGGTCTGTATGCTCACTGTCTGCAGCTGGAGAGTCCCAGGTCTGTTCATGCCAGTGGTGGTAGAGGAGCACAGGGAGATAAGAGTTTTCCCTGTAGCAGTCATTGATTGCTCTTGGGTGGGTGTGCTTGGCTGGTTTTCCAGATCATAGACTTCAGGCAGTAAGGCATTAGAAATATTATAGTATATTAAATGTACTGTGGAGCGTTTGGCTGCACTAACTGCTGCTTTTAATAGAGCTCAGATCTGACATTTTTGGGACTGAGAGGGTTTGGATGTAAACTTTGTTAAATTGGTTTTGAAAAAGGAAGTTCTTTCATGCTTTGAAGGGAAAAAAATATGAAGAGAGAACTGCAAGTCTCTTCCTTAAATCAAAGTTTTCTGCCTGAAATGGGAACAGCTCAGCAGAACAGTTTAAGTAAACATGGCCATAACTGCTTATCTGAGACATTGGCATCCTCTCTTCTTACTATGTTACTTTTTTGTGGTATCCTGGCGTCTCTCAGTCACTGATGTGTTTGTTCTCACAGCACCTCCTTTGTAGGCATATAGTTTTGTGTCCATTCGATAGTTGCCACCAAGATTTGAGGCTTTATCTGAACACCTTGCTCCAGGAGTGTACTTTTTCTACACCTATACAGACGAGATTTTGGAACTGCTGTCTGAGCAGTCCTACCTGCCTCCAGCTCTGAATTTGTCTCTGTTGTGGCTTCTTTATTTATTAAGCAGGGTTAAAAACAGAGGTAACTGTTTCTGACTCATCCCAAGTCAGTGTTCAGCCCAGGACAGGATAAAATCTAGGGCAGTGACAGCTGGTGTACAGTTGTAGCCTGTGTGTGGGGTCAGTATAAACATTGGGAGATTTGTTGAAAATTACATATGTATGTGAGAGTGCAAGGAAATAGCTACCATACTCTAAAGCTGGTGCCTGAGTATGGGATCATGATTCTTCTCCTAGGCAGGAAAAATGCACCATAGTGCAAGAATAACTTATTGATACCTAACATTACATCTCGGGTGGGTTTTGCCCGTGTGTGTTAAAATAAAGTAGACCCACACTGGGTCTTTTATCCAGGAGGCATTGCCACATGCAAGTAACTTCTGTGCACTCCAAGTTCTTCCACTGTATCATTGCTTGAACTTCATTATTATAACTAATTTTTAAGTTAATGCTTTACTCTTAAGACCAGCTTCTAAAGAAACAAATTTGTTTTAATTTGTACATGAACAAGAAGAAGAATGTTTTAGTTATGGAATGTAGATTGTAATTTATTTGATAGGTCTCGTAAAGTAAGAAACTGTAATGTTTCATAGAGTACTTCTGTGTGTTCTATAACATCATCTTCAAAGTAATGGAAGAATGAGAAATGAGAAGTGAGAGAGCTTTGTTTTTTTCATGGGAATGAATGTGTCTGTACATTTCTGAGGCTCTAGTATAAGTTCTTCCTCATTTTGATTATGTTACGAGGAATAAAAGCAATTAAAAGAAGAAAAAGAGAAAAAGAAGACTGTGCCTCTTGGTTAGTTTTGTTGTGATTCAGACAACAGTGTATCAGGTCATGGGAAGTGTTCTCAGCCACAGTTTTAGTTACAGTTTGAAAAATTGTGTTTTGTCATGAAATAGTGCCCAGAGTTTTAAAGGTAGTACACGTGCAGATATAAGTATATTGCACTGCCAATGCCAATTTAGTACATAAAGAGCTTCACAGCTGTTTGGATCTGCTCTTCTTTCATAATGGGCTGCAACTTGTTTACTAATGCTTGAAAGCATGTACACATCAAATAAATCTCTGGTATTTGGGCCATAGTGTGCCAGCATTATGCAAAGGGAAGATTAACCACACTCAGTATTAAGCTACGATTCACTTCACTCTTGATTCCTCTCCATAGCAAATCAACCAAACCATCAAAGAACAGAATTAGTGGAAGGGTTCCTCAGACAATAGATTTATTTCCATGTTTATTTGTATTATTGTTAAGAAAAGGGAAATCAGCAGAGCAAATCTGCCTGGGGCTCAGGGCATTATAAATTAATCAAAAGACATGAAGTGAACTTTTGGGTGTGGAAAACCAGCACCAGATGCAAATGCTACATAGCTGCATCATATGGTGTGTGCGGTGTTGCTGCAACAGCTGAGAGCAACACGCCTGCTTTGACTGCTGCTGCTCTCAATAGATAGCCTTTAGCAAGCAGTATATTGGCAAATCTGACACAGAGTGAATTTGCAACATTGACTCAAAAGACTTTCCTAACATGAAGTATCTTTAATGCATATCATTTTAGCTCTTTCCTGTTTTTACTCTGTTCTCTTTCAGTGAAAAGGTCAAGAAAAGCAGTAGCTCAGTGGCTGAATTTTTCTGAAGTGCTTTACAGCAGGGAAAGTGGGGAAACCTCTTAAAGTGGTGTCTTATTCAGTAAGTTAAACCCTTTTTCCTTCATTTAATTAATGAATTTATTTTCTTTAAATTTTTTAAATCCTATGTATCAGAATAATTATAGTTACTTAGAAGGTGTCCCCAGGAAGGTGTGAATCCTCATCCCCACCTTGGCTTTCCCCCTCCCCCAGAAGTAGTCTTTGCCAAATGAAACCTGTCAGCCCACTTTGGCAGATACAGAAGTGTGCAGCTGACTCAAATCCTACCACAACGTGAGTGTCCCTCTGCCCCTGCTGGGGCTGGTCGCTGCATTCCTGTTCAGAGATGTGCCCCATAAAGTGCGCGCCTCCTTCTTCAGCACTTGCCCTGCATGTGTGTGTGTGCGTGTGCGCACACCCACACACTTCAGCTGTGCCCCCCCCTTTGTCTTTGTACCCAGAAAGCCATCCAGCTGCAGTAATGAGAGATTTTTCAGAGACCAAAATGGAAACTTTTTGGGTTTTCCCCTACAGCAATAGCATAGGTATATTTGATGTTGCTACCACTATCATGATAAGAAATAAAAGAGAAAGGGCTGTATTAATTTTACAGTAACAGGTAGGGAGGCACTCAGGGAGATTTTCTTTAATATAACTAGAGATTCAGTTAGTGCTGCTGCCTTATGTTGATTCCAGTTAAAGGTCAGAGACATAAAAAAGTTTAGTGCTGCAAATTTAATTTGTAGCATCAATTTAGGATGGCTTATAAGTTTAACTAGCCTTAAGGGTGCTAAGTACTTCCAGCTGAGGCCAGAAGGAATTTCAGCTGGTCAGCAGTTCCTGTGATTTGACCTGATACTACTTACTATCATTTTCTTGCACACCTGATATTTCTGCACTTTTTTTTTGTAGGTATGAGTTTCTTTGCTCACATCCCTTTATGCCTCATTTGCTAACTCTTGTGTTCTGGAAAATTGGCAGGATGACAGCAAGCAACTCCCTCATCCTTTTGTGTTAGGGCTAATCCTCAGGTTTCTTTCTGATGTGCCTCCAGAAATATATATTCAGCTGAGGCTGAATGCTGATTTGATTTGTAATACTAAAATGTGAACAGTGCAGATCACTTTGTATCTCTTAAAAAAAAGTCACGGTAGAAGTGTATATGAACAGTTTCAGAGTTTTACACTCAGTCACATAAAATATGTTTCTAAAATACAGGTGTACTTTGGCACATGCCAAAGTACTTTGCTGAATCTGGATATTTGTCTTCGCTTTGTAAACTTGGAACTTTACAATTAACAATTAGATTACCAATAACTTAACAGGTTATGGTATGTTACTGCTTTGAATTGTGCTTTGGCATGACAGACAGACTTTTATTTTGATTTCAGATATATTACTTGTTTTTACTTCTTTTTTTTTTTTTTTTGCTTACCATATGATTTAATTAAAGTTTTATTGTAGTGATTGACAGTTGCTTTATTTGATACCTGTTTATAGACATTTATTCATTATTTTGTCAGTGTACTGATTTTTGTCAGGAGAGAATGGCATTATTTCTTTTGTCAATGAAAATGAGGCTATAAATTACTGTAATTTTGGGATACATTTCTGGTATAAGCAAATAGTATTCCCTTGGTGAGTTTTCTGCTGTGGAAAACTAGGTTATGCATAATATATTTTACAAAAGACCTGTATTTCTCTGAAGAGGAATGGCATTGTGCATTTCCTGGAAACAGAGAAGAATTTAAATGTATGTATGGTCTTATTCAAAGTATGGAAGATCTGCAGTGTTGTTCCTCCTTGTTCACAGGGGAGACTGGAAATTATTGAATTATTGATTATGGGTTCTGCTTGTGATAAATAAATAATTTTTTTTAAACCCTCTTTTGTAGGACGTGGGGTGAAGGGTTCAGCTTTGAGCACCTTGGTGCAGTCACCTACCAGGTTCTTCCCAGAGTTGTCCTGCACCTGCCACTGGTGCAGATGTGTTAGGTCCCAAGGTGACGATACCCACAGTCACCAAAGAAGAAGCAAAAGTCACACAGGTGTGTCACACAGATGTGTGACTTTGTATTTTACTGACAAGTACAAAAGGATTTTGCAAAATTGTGATGCAATTAAGCTGTGGGAGTAGGGAGGATATGATGTATTCTTCCCTGCTAAAATCATTGTGTTAACAGTTTGGCACCATCACTGAACTCCACAGTAACTTGTGGTGTACGTTTTAAGAATGCACCGAACAGCACACATTGTTTAATTCTGTGTTCTGTTACGCAACAGAGCGCGATTGCCTCAGTGAAGCACATCTGCATTGCGAGAGTAAACTCTCCTGGGAAGCAAGTGCATCTTCCACAGAAGTAGGAGTGAGGCGTGGGTTGGGCATTGCTATTTTGGCAAGCAGAGGGAACCAGTGTTGGAAAGCTGCCTCACCTTTCACTTTCTATGGAACTTACCCTTTCTCCCTGTTTCAGGCATCAGCCACTGCCACTTGCTTCTCTTAGTGGTGGCATGGGGATGGGGATGTTTTCAGTGGTAGATTAAAAGCATTTATCAGGGTTTTGGGAACCATGGTCTTTGCTATCTGTCAGGTTTGTTTGTGATCCTTGAGCAGAATAGTCTGTTAGGGAGCAGTAAAGAATGCACCTTGGAAAAAACATCTGGAAGAGCTAAGAAAACATTTTGGTTTTACTAAAAAAAAAACCAAACAAAACCACACCTGTGTGATAGTGTCTTCTTTAACTGCTAAGTCAGCAGCAGTTGATGGAAAGCACAAAATTCCTATAACTTTTATATTGTGTTTCAGTTTGCTTCTTCCAAGTCTCTTTTGCTGGAAGCAAAGTGAGGCTCCTGCTGTCTCAGTTCTACTGAAGTTCTTCCTGTCATCCTAAGCTTGGTTATCAACTCTCATTTTTCTCCTATCAGCATGCATTATATTTTTATGGCAGTGTTTAGCAAAGACTTTCCAACAGTGCCTATGACAGTGTAATTGGACTCCTCTGTCTGACTGAAATTACTCTCTCTTCAATGGGGGGCTCTGGCTGCTTTCTAACACAGTTTTCTTTGAGGCAGGCTGGATGTCTAGTTAACTGGTCTGTAATGTGGGTGCACAGCATTTCACCAGGCATTAGTAAAAGTAGTTATTCATGGTTTGCTGTTAAACTGCAAGACTGGAGTGAGTGAGATTCCCCAGGGGTCTGTTCTGGCTTTGGTAATACTCACTGTTGTCGTTATTGAAATGATTGATGGAGCAGAGAGAGCAATTGTTAATTTAACATAGGATAAGAAATGTGAAGGGGGGCTGCAGGCTTCTTGGAAGGCAGGATTAGAGTTTTGAGCTGCCCTGGCTAATAGGAGAAATAGTCTAGGAAAAAACCTTGACAAACAGCCAGGATACAAACATAGAAGCACGGGAGAGAGATAGAAATATCCAGTTGAATGAGACAGAATGGGGCTGACTCAGTAGTGGTTCTACAGAAGAAGATCTGTGAGCTGATGTTGGGCTCTGTTGAAGTAGCAGTTTGGCCTGGTTTGCTTGAATAGGGTGGTAAAAAAATCACAGCTTGTTCTCAGACCAGCAGAGAAAACCAGCCTGTGACACATCCTTCTCTCCTCTCCCCTGGCACCTGAGCTGCCAGTGCTCTGTTGAGTGGGCAGCTTTTCTTTTGATCCCCTGCCTACTTCAGTTCTGGCCCTGGTGCTGGTGAACATGCCTGTAGGGACGTGTCCCAGCTCAAGTCCTCCCAGGCCTGGTCCATGTGCACAGGACAGTGCATCTGATAGGGAAAGGGGTCGCAGACCTGAGACCGTAGGTGTCACGCAGTCATACAAGGAACAAGGGTTCTCCGTCTCCAGCTGTGTTCCTCAAAACAGCACTTTTTTAGGGTGTGTAAAGAAAAGGCATGAAATAACCCCTCCACTCTATTCAGTGTTTGAAATGGTTTAACCTCTAGTTTGGGGCACAACACAGTCAAGAGCCAGCTGGATGGTGTCCAGGGAGAAGGCAGGAAAAATGATGAAAATTTGGAAAAAAAGACCTGGGAAATAAGATGAAAGAATGGGGATTGTTTAGTCTACAGGGGACAAGGCCAGTAACAGACATGATAGTAGTGTTCAAGTATGTGGAAGGTTCCTGCGGGGAGTAGGGGAATAAACTTTACTGCCTGACTGCTTGGCTCTAGGTCTAAAAGAAATGGGCTCCATATGAAGGTGGCAAGACTTAGGTAAACGTTTAAGAAAGCTTTGAAATTATAAGGATATTTTGGTCTTGCAGTAATTTGCCTTTGAGGAAGCTGTGGAAGCATCATCACTGGAGGTTTTTATAAAACAGACAAACCTCCTGCAAGAATATTTTGGGCATTGCTTTGGGAAAGGAGGTGGAATATATGCTTCTGAAGGTTGTTTCCCAGGAAATAATGAAGAATTTTTATTTATTTATTTATTTTATTCTGTGAACTTAGGTAATTAGATAATCTAATAACCCAGCAAATAACTCAAGAGATAGTGGCAATTCATTATTGCAACATACTAGTGGTAAATAGACAGCTGATTTATGCACAAACCCCAGTGATGATGATACCGTTCTGCTCTCTGTTCTAGTTAAAAAAAAATAAAAATCTGAGCAAGCTAATTTTACTGGAGCATTTCAGAAAGCTGTTCCTGTAAATATCTTACTCTGTACAGACATAGAGGAAGCAATGTTAGTTGACTTTGCTTATTGAAATATTGTGCAAACACTATCAGTACCTGTTATTGATTGTACATAGCGTGGCTGTAGTAAAGCCAGCAGTACTTTATGAGGCATGGGAGCTAAACTGGAGCAAGATGTTGTGTTTCCTATCTTGATGTCTGTGCACTTATGTGCTTCTTTTACATGGAGCAGGGAGCAGGCTGAGAAGAACTAAGATTTAATTACCTCATTGCTATCTCTACACGAGTTACTCTCCATTGTCTTGTTACATTAAGTGCCTTGAGAAATGTCTTATGGTGTCCCTATGGATACTTTCCTTCCTTTTTTCTTCACTGGAGGATCCCTTCTATGACTTTAAAAGTTCTACAGGT